CCTCCTCCACCTCCTCCTCCTCCACCTCCTCCTCCTCCTCCTCCTCCTCCTCCCACGTCCTCACCCGAAAGGCAGCCCTCGCGGATAGGGAAGGGGTCCGGGGCGCCCTCCAGACAGCGCCGGCCATGGCCTCCTTGCTCGGCGCGCGGGCGGATAAGAAAACAGCATGCGCTCCTGCTGTCCGCCTCTGCACCAGGCCGCGCCCTCGCCGTCGGCGCACGTGCTATCAGAGAGGCAGCGGGAGGCAAGCCGAGTTGCCGCGCCAAATCGCGGCGCCAAATCCAACCAGCGCGCTTCCGAGGTACAGCCAGCGGACGGAATGCGGCGCGGATGCGGGGACGGAACAGCGAGCCCATCGATCTAGAGACGGCGGGCTCGACTCTGCGGCCAAGTAAACCCTGGCCGCCACGTCGTCACGAGGCAGGGCCATCAGCGTCGGTGCGCGAGATCTGCGTGGAGAGGCCGTACAGGTCCAGCACGGGGAAGAGGCTGACGCCCTCGGGCACGCGCTCCTCCGGGCAGGGCTTCAGGCGCTCCCTCAGGGCGCCGTTCACGAAGACCTCGATGGCATCGGGCATCACCCGGAGACCGACGCGGTCGCCCTGGCGGAGCTCCGCCGCGGAGACGCCGCGGCCCTTGGCAGCATTGTGGTTGTTCACGCTCAAGACCACCGAGGACTGCGTGAAATCGACGACCCAGGACTTCGGCACCTCGTCCGCCACCGAGCCAATCTCTCGGAGCTCCTCTGAGAGACCAAGAAGTACCGACACCGCGACTGCCCAGACCTCTCACGGGGTGCGCTCTGACCAGGAGCTCCTGGCGAATCCAGCCGTGGCGACGAGGTCCTCCCAGGACGCCCGAACAGGCGAAAACGAAGGCCGAGTAGTGGTGTCGGTACCTCTTCCTCCTCTGACCTCTGGGTCGCAGGCCGTGACGCCCAGGCCGAAGTCGTTCAGCCCGTCGCCGTCCGCGGCGCCCTGCTCGGAGCGCTCGTCCAGCCGCACCTCCAGGTACGGCTGGCGCCCTGGCCCGCACGGCAACGGCGCGTCACCGAGCACGACGAGCTCCTCGTCCGAGATCCGCCGGGCGGCCAGGCCTGACAGCAGGACTTCCACCCCGTCGCCCTTCAGGTGGCGGTCGAAGCGCCAGGCCACCTCGATCGGCAGCTCCGGGGCGCGGAGCGCCACCTCCGCCAGCAGCTGGGACGAGCGGGGCACGACCAGCCGCTCCACGCACCGCCACGCCGCGAGCCACTTGGCGAACACCGGCGCCAGCCCCGCCAGCGACGCTGGCGGCACGCGCACCGTCCGCCCCCGCCAGGCCTCCTCCCTGCGGAGGGCCCGCTCGAAGTCCGGCGACACCGCCGAGAGCCGCCCGATGGCCGGCACGTCCACCTCGGCACGAGTGACCCCAGGCAAGAGTGAGCTTTCGTGCGCGGCGTTTGGGGGGGTGCCGGAGGCGAAGCGGGGGGTGAAACCCAAGTGCGCAAGCCGCTGCTGTCGCATCGCATGCAGCGATCGGCTCCCGCACCAAAGGCCACTCTGACGAAGGGCCACTCTTACGCGTAGCCGACCACCACGAAGCGCAGCGCCGCCGTCCATACCTCCTCTGGCACCCGCCAGGGCGGGCAGCCGCCACTGCGCGCGCCCGCCGAGCCCGGCTGCAGCAAGAGCGGCGGCAACAGGCAGTGCACCGCCTCGCTCTGGCCCTCGCCGACGCGGCCCCGCAGGGGGGCCACCAAGGGCTCCCCCACCGGCAGGGCGCGCGCGGCCAGCAGCAGGGGCTGCACCGCCGGCGGCGAGACCGAGAAGCAGAGCTTGGGCGACGGGGGCGCGTGCCGCTGGGAGCCCACGTACGGCGAGGCGCGCGGCAGCCTGTCCGCGCACGCCCGCGGCCGGTCCTGCGCCACGAGGACATATACACACGGACACCCTCCGACGAACTGTGCATGTTCCTTCAGGGAGGGCGGCGGTGTAGAAGGACGCTATCTCGCAGTGGTGAATTGTGCACCGCCGCCCTCCCCTGAGCCCTGGGAGCAATCCACTGAAGGCGCTTGTGTGGTGTGTGTGTGTGTGAGAGAGTGAATGGATGTGTGTGTGTGCGTGTGTCTGTGTGTGTGTCTGTGTGTGTGCGTGTAGGTGTGTGTGTGTGTGTGCGTGTGTGTGTGTGTGTGCGTGTGTGCGTGTGTGTATGTCTGTGTGTGTGCGTGCGTGTGTGGGTGTGTGTGTGTGTGCGTGCGTGTGCGTGTGCGTGTGTGCGTGCGTGTGCGTGTGCGTGTGTGTGTGTGTGAATGTGTGTGTGTGCGTGTGTGTGTGTGTGGTAGTGTGCTTGTAGTGTGCGTGTGTTGAGTGTGTGTGTGTGTGCGTGTGTGTGTGTGTGCGTGGGGGTTTGTGTGCGTGAGGGTCTGGGTGTGCGTGGGTGGTGGGTGCGTGGGGGTGTGGATTGTGTGGGTGGTGTAGTGTGGCGGGTGTGTGCGTGTGAGTATGTGTGTGTGTGTGCGTGCGTATGTGTCTGCGTGCGTGTGCGTGTTGGGTGTGTGGTTGGGTGTGCGTGGTTGTGTGTGCGTGCGTTTTGTGTGTGTGTGTGTGGGTGTGTGCGTGTGTGTGTGTATGTGTGCGTGGGATTGTGTGTGGCGTGTGTGTATGTGCGTGTGTGTAAGGCTTGTGTGTGCGTGTGTCACGTGGTTGCGTGTGTTTGTGTGTGCGCGTGGGGAGTCGTGTGTGTGTGTGTGCTTGGGTGTGTGGTGTGTGTGAGTGTGCGTGTGTGTGTGTGTGGCGTGTGTGTGTGTGTGTGCGTGTGTGTGTGCGTGTGGTGCGTGCGTGTGGGTGGGTGTGTGATGTCTGTGGTCGTGTTGTGCATGTTATGTGTGTTGGTGTGCGTGTGCCGTTGTGCGTGTGTTGTGTGTGCGGGTGTGTGTGTGGGGTGGGGCGTGCATGCGGCGTGTGCGTGTGGTGCGTGCGGTGTTTGCGTGTGTTTGGGTGTGTGCGTGCGGTGTTGCGTGCGTTTGTGTGGTGTGAGTATGTGGTGTGGCGTGTGTGTGTGTCTGTGTATGTGTGTGCCGTGCGTGTGTGTGTGCGTGTGTGTGTGTGCGTGTGTGGTGTGTGTAGTGTGTGTGCGTGTGCGTGTGTGTGTGTGTGTGCGTGTGCGTGTGCGTGTGCATGTGTGTGTGCGTGCGTGCGTGCGTGCGTGTGTGCGTGTGTGCGTGTGTGTGCGCGTGTGTGTGTGAGGGTGTGTGCGTGTGTGTGTGAATGTGCGCGTGTGTGTGTGTGCGTGTGTGTGCGTGTGTGTGCGTGTGTGTGTGTGTATGTCTGCGTGCGTGTGTCTGCGTGCGTGTGCGTGCGTGTGTGTGTTGTGTGGTTGTGTGTGTGTGTGTTGCGTGTGTGTGTGCGGTGTGTGTGTGGGGTGTGTGTGTGGTCAGTGTGCGTGCGTGTGGTGTGCGTGTGCGTGTGTGTGGTGTGTTGTGCGTGGTATGTGTGTGTGTATGAGTGTGCTTTGTGCGTGCGTGCGCGTGTGCGTGGAACGTGTGCGCGTGCGTGTGTGTGTGTGTGTGTGTGTTGCGTGGCGTGTGTGTGCGTGCGTGTGTGTGTGTGTATGTGCGTGTGGTGTGCGTGTGCGTGTGTGTGTGTGTGTGTGCGTGTGGTGTTGGCGTGTGCTTAACATGGTGTGCGAAATGTGCGTGTGATATCTACGCTGTGTGCGTGCGTGCGCGTGCGTGTGCGTGTTTGTGTGCGTGTTTGAGTTTGTGTGCGTTTGTGGGTGTCGTGTGTGCGCGTGGTGTGTGCGTGTGTTGAGTGTGCGTTGTGTGTATGTGTGGTGAGTGGTGTTTGTGTGTGTGCGTGTGTGCGGCTGCGTGTGTGTGTGTGTGTGCGGTGTGTGTGGGTGCGGCTGCGTGTGTGTGTTTGTGCGTGTGTGTGTGTGGTGTGGGCGTGCGGTGCGTTCGTGCGTGTGTGTGTGTGGCGCGCGTGTTGCGTGTGGCTGAGTGACATGTGGATGCGTGTGTGTGTGTCTGTGCGTGTGTGTTGTGCGTGTGTGTCTGCGTGAGCGTGTGTGTGTGTGTGCGGGTGTGTGTGTGTGCGTGTGTGTGTGCGTGTGTGTGTTTGTGTGCGTGTGAGTGTGCGTGTGCGTGTGCGTGTGCGTGCGTGTGTGCGTGTGTGTGTGCGTGCGTGCGAGCGTGTGTGTGCGTGTTTGTGTGTATGCATGTGCATGTGCGTGTGTGTGTGTGTGTGCGCGTGAGTGTGCGTGTGCGTGTGCGTGAGCGTCTGCGTGCGTGTGTGTGTGTGTGAGTGTGTGTGTGTGTGTGTGTGCGTGCGTGTGCGTGTGCGTGTGCATGTGCATGTGCGTGTGTGTGCGTGTGTGTGAGTGTGTGTGCGTGTGCGTGTGTGTGTGCGTGTATGTGCGTGCGCGTGTGCGTGTGCGTGTGCGTGTGCGTGTGCGTGTGTGTGTGTGGGTGTGTGTGTGTGTGCGTGTGCATGTATGTGTGTGTGTGCGTGCGTGCGTGCGTGTGTGCGTGTGTGCGTGTGTGCGTGTGCATGTGCGTGTGTGCGTGAGTGCGTGAGTGCGTGTGTGCGTGTGTGCGTGTGCGTGTGCGTGTGCGTGTGCGCGTGTGTGTGTGTGTGTGTGCGTGTGCGTGTGCGTGTGTGCGTGTGCGTGTGCGTGTGCGCGTGTGCGTGTGCGTCTTTCCGTGGCGGACGTCCCGCTTGCCCGCGGAAGGGTCGTGGCCGCCGGAGTCGCCCGCCGGGCCCGTGGCCTCCCCCGCCGGCGGGCTCCTCCGCCACAGCAGGCTGCCCAGCAGGTCGTGCAGCTCCCGCGGCGGCGCGTGCCGCAGGAAGCCCACGAGGGGCAGCCCGCGCGGCAGGAGCGGCGAGCCCGCTGCCGCCGCGGCCCGGGGCCCGCCCTCGGCGCCCCGGCTGCTCCCGAGCGCCCCGTCCGTCGAGACCTGGCGGCCGAAGATGCGCTGGCTGCCTTCGAAGAGCTCCGCAGGGGACGCCATGGTCCCGACGCCGTCTGGCGCCTCGGCACGGCCTCCTCCTCGAGGCAGCGGACGCGCGGGCGCCGCCCCGCTGTCACCTCCTGCCGGCAGGTCCCCTCTCGCCGCCTCCGCGGGCGGGGGCTTGCAGGGCAGCTCCTGGTGTGATGCCCACTGCCGCCCGATGTCGCACAGTCTTGGTCAAGTGCACAGATTTCCACGCTTCGGTAGACTCGGTTCTGATGTTGAACTTGGCACTGCGTGCGCACCCTGAGGGAGGAACGGCCTGTTACCCAGCACGCGGCAGCCTGGAGCCAAAACGGCTGCGAAGAAAGGGGCGGGAGACTCTGGAAAAGGCTCGGGGCAGCTGGTCCTAGACACCTGGGGGTCTCCCGCATGGAGTCGCGCGACCCAGCGCGCAGCTCCAGTGGACGGCACAGCACGGAGCGGCACGATCATCCCACGGGCAGGACGCGGCTTGGTGCGAGGCGGCACGGGGTAAATGGGTGGAGGGCGGGTGCTCTCTGGCGAATCTCCTGGGCCCCGCCACAGTGCCCGTGCCCATGAGAGGCGCACTTACGCGGATCGCGGAACTCGCGGCCAGAGCGACCGAACGGCGTGCCGGCCAGCGGCTAGCTCAGGGCAGCGGCTGTGGTGCCGACACCTCCGACGTGCTCGCTCTTGGTCCGCAGCGCGGTGCGCGATGCAGCCTTATGAAAGGGACGAGGAAGAGCCCGTCGTCTTGATTGCTCGCCTCTTCCAGGGGGCGCACGGGCGCGCGGGCATAAACTCTCGATGCCAGCGTCTTCGGGGAGGCAAAGGCGGGGTGCAGCGCGAGGGGGGGGGGATCCTCCAGGGCCCCGAGTCTGGCAAAACTCTGCGCGTTCCCCCCCAAAACGATGGCCGCAGCACTCCGAACTGGGTGGAGATCGACGGATGTGTCGGCAAGCGCGCACGCGTATCACGAAAACGGTGCAACATTGGCCTGCGATAGAAGGGCCGTCACGGCCAGTCAGCTCTCCCTGTCTCTCTCTATTGACCTCTCTCTTCCTCCCGCTCTCTCTCTCTCTCTCTCTCTATCTCGATCTCTCTAATCATCTCTCTCTCTCTATCTATCTCTCTCCTTCTCTATCTCTCTTCTTTATGATATATATATATATATATATATATATATCGCTTGGTATAAATGTCCCTCTCTCTAAGCGTTTGTGTTGTATTGGTCTCCATAAAAATGTTAAACCTACATTACAGATGTGTATGTGCATGCACATGTATCTATATGTCTATGTCTGTATACACATAACTATATGAGTCCGTATACATGTTTATCTCTCTCTTTCTCTCTCTCCCCTCCTCCCCCTCTCCCTTCCCCTCTCTCTGTCTCTGTCCTTCCCTCTCGCACTCTCTCTCTCTCTCTCTCTGAGAAGCATCTCTCTATCTTCCTCTGAGAAGCGTCCGAGCCAAATCGAATCCAGCCTAAGCGAATACAGATGAGGAGGGGGTAGAAAGGTTTCGGATTCGCGTTAGTAACGAGTCTGGAAACATTTTGTGGGTCTTCCCAGGCGCGAGAGGGACCTCTAATTCGCATCAGGCAAGATCAGGCCCAAGATGAAGCCCGACTAAGCCGAATTCGGTCGGACCGATCCGGAGTAGGCCAGAGGAACACCAAGGAAATGCCGAGGCCGACGCCTGATCAAACCTCCATGTCCGGAGGAGAGGAGGGAGCAGAGGAAGAACAAACTGCATGGACAGAAATGTTTGGAGGTTCCTGCGGAGCGCCAAAAGCTTATGCTCATGCCTTTCTTGTTCGTCGTCGAAAGAAAAGAAGCCGCACCCAGCGGCCTCGCAGCAACAGAGAAACACCGCGCAGAGCCGGGCGCACCGACGAGGGGGGGGGCACCGACGAGGGGGAGGCACCGACGAGGGGGGGGCACCGAAGAGGGGGAAGCAACGAAGAGAGGGGGGGGGCACCGAAGAGGGGGGGGCACCGAAGAGGAGGGGGGGGGGGGGGGCGCACCGAAGAGGGGGGGGCGCACGAAGAGCCGGGTCTCGACGCCCACGGGCAGCGCCGGGCGCACCGAGAGGGGGGGGGGTGCAGGCGGAGAAGGGCTGGCGCACCGTGGCCCGAGGTGATGGGCTTGTTTTCCACCACCACCACCACCACCACCACCACCACCACCACCACCACCACCACAACCACCATGTGTTCGAGGGGGAGGGGGTCCTCCTCCTCCTCCTCCTCCTCCTCCTCCTCCTCCCTCCTCCCTCCTCCTCCTCCTCCTCCTCCTCCTCCTCCTCTCCTCCTCCTCCTCCTCCTCCTCCTCCGCCTCCTCCTCTCCCTTGTCCTCCTCCTCCTCCTCCTCCTCCTCCTCCTTCCCCCCTCCAGCTCATGGTGGTGGTGGTGGTGGTGGAAAACAGGCCCATCACGAGGCGCGTGTGCGGACGAGTGGGGGGGCTCGGCCCGCGAAGTCTCGGAGACCTCACGGCATTGGCCATGTGCGGCAGGTTAGCGTGGCGTCGGCGCGCGCAGAGCTTTTTGGCACCGCGTCGATCGTTCAGCCTTGGATCGATCGCGGCCACGATCGGTCCAGGTTGAAGTCAGTCGAGTCCAGTGGCGTCACCGTGTCCAGTGGTGCTTCCGCGTCGCAGGATTCAACCTCGAACGCCTTCGCGCGCCAAAGCCGCATGAACCTGCCCTAATCCACTTTTTCCCAAACCATCCTGTGGTGCTGGGTCCTGGTTTTGAAGAGACAGTCCCCGCGTTCACTCCTCCTCCTCCTCCTCCTCCTCCTCCTCCTCTCCTCCTCCTCCTCCTCCCGCTGCCCTCCTCCTCTCTCCTCCTCTCCTCCTCTCCTCCCTCCTCTCCCTTGTCTCCTCCTCCTCCTCCTCCTCCTCCTCCTCCTCCTCCTCCTCCTCCTCCTTCCCCCTCCTCCCTCTCATCATCATCATCATCATCATCATCATCATCATCATCATCATCATCATCATCATCATCATCATCATCATCATCATCATCATCATCATCATCATCATCATCATCATCATCATCATCATCATCATCATCATCATCATCATCATCATCATCCTCATCCTCATCCTCATCCTCATCCTCATCATCATCATCAGCATCATCATCATCAGCATCATCATCAGCATCACCAGCAGCAGCAGCATCAGCATCATCATCATCATCATCATCATCATCGTCATCATCATCATCATCCTCATCCTCATCATCATCACCATCACCATCACAATCACCATTACCATCATCATCATACTCATCATCATCATCAGCATCAGCATCAGCATCAGCATCAGCATCAGCAGCATCATCATCATCATCAACATCAACATCATCAACATCATCATCATCATCATCATCATCATCATCATCATCATCATCATCATCGTCGCCGTCATCATCGCCGTAATCGTCGCCATCATCGGCACCCATGTCGGCACACCCCTCACACGATTCGCGGCCCCCTAGGGAGCCCCACGGAAGGCCCAAATGTCAGCGTTCGCATGCGCCCACCGCACCCATTTTGGCACACCACTCACACGCTTCGGGGCCCCATGGTGGGCCCTACCGAAGGCCCAAGTGCCAGCGTTCGCATGCGCCCAATGCACCCATTTTTGGCACACCCCTCACACGTTTCGGGGCCCCACAGGGAGCCCCACCGAAGGCCCAAACGTCAGCGTTCGAATGCGCCCACCGCACCCATTTCGGCACACCCCTCACACGTTTCGTGGCCCCATAGGGAGCCCCACCGAAGGCCCGAGTGTCAGCGTTCGCATGCGCCCACTGCACCCCTTTTTGGAACGCCCCTCACACGTTTCGTGGCCCAATAAGGGGCCCCAACAAAAGCCCAAGCATCAGCGTCCTCATGCGCCCACCCCACCGAAGGCCCAAGTGCCAGCGTTCGCATGCGCCCACCGCACCCATTTTGGCACACCCCGCACACTTTTCGTGGCCCCACTGCGAGCTCAATCGAAGGCCCAAATGCCAGCGTCCGCATGCACCCACCGCACCCATTTTGGCACACCACTCACACGTTTCGGGGCCCCATAGTGGGCCCTACCGAAAGCCCAAATGCCAGCGTTCGCATGCGCCCACCGCACCAATGTTGGCACACCCCTCACACCTTTCGTGGCCCTACAGGGAGCCCCACCGAAGGCCCAAGTGCCAGCGTTCGCATGCACCCACCGCACCCATTTTGGCACACCACTCACACGCTTCGGGGCCCCATGGTGGGCCCTACCGAAGGCCCAAATGCCAGCGTTCGCATGCGCCTACCCTACCCATGTAGGCACGCCCCCCACACGCTTCGTGGCCCCATAGGGAGCCCCACCGAAGGCTCAAATGCCAGCGTTCGCATGCACCCACCGCACCCATTTTGGCACACCACTCTCACGTTTCGGGGCCCCATAGTGGGCCCTACCGAAAGCCCAAATGCCAGCGTTCGCATGCGCCCACCGCACCCATTTTTGGCACACCCCTCACACCTTTCGTGGCCCTACAGGGAGCCCCACCGAAGGCCCAAGTGCCAGCGTTCGCATGCACCCACCGCACCCATTTTGGCACACCACTCACACGCTTCGGGGCCCCATGGTGGGCCCTACCGAAGGCCCAAATGCCAGCGTTCGCATGCGCCTACCCTACCCATGTAGGCACGCCCCCCACACGCTTCGTGACCCCACAGGGAGCCCTACCCAAAGCCCCAAACCCCAAACCCAGCGTTCGCATGAGCCCACCGCACCCATTTTGGCACCCCCCTCACACGCTTTGTGGCCCCAAAGGAAGCCCCACCGAAGGCCCACATGCCAGCGTTCGCATTCGCCCACCGCACCCATCACGGCACGACCCTTTCACACGTTTGGTAGCCCCATATGCAGCTCCACCGAATGCGGTGCATATCACGACGGTGCCCACAACTGCAGATGGCTGGGCTTTTCGCCGAGCTAATTTCCCGTCGGCAGCGAGGCAAAGGCAGTCCGCACCAGCGTGGGGCTAATCGGGGCAACCGAAAGGCGAACTGGCCGGCGTGCAGGAGGAAGGGACGAAGACGAGGGCGGCCGCGCCAGGGGAGGCAGGGGGAAGGAACCAGACGTGGAAGAATTCCGCGACGAGCAGGCCGGAGGCATGTACAGTGCGGGCGCGGCCGCAAGAAACCCTCGCAAGAAACCCAACCCTGAAAACCCGCGCGCGGAGCGCACCTGAGGGGGAACCGGGAGCACCCTGAAAGCAGCCGCTTCTTCAGCGGCTGCGGGAAGTCACCACGCAGCGCGCGGAGCGAAGACACCCAGGGCGCCCTGACGAAA